AAAGAGCATGAGACCTCAGCGCGGGTGACTGATGGTGAGACCGCAGCCCAAAGAGAACACTGGAGAGAAGCAGGCTGGGCCGGGATGGGGAATAATGCCCTAGACTACGTGTTTCAGAGGGAGGGGGAAACAGCAGGCGGGGTGCGTGCTTGGGGGTGATTGGCATAGAGTGGGGTTCAGGAACCCACCCAGGTGAATAGTGAGCAGACAGGCGTGACCTCCCGGCTGCCGGGTTAAGGCCCAGAGGGGACAGTCCAAGGATGGGAACTGGTCACAGTGGGAGGGGCGTTAGTGAGCCTGGAGGTGAGCTGTCTCCAATGAGACCTGGGGCAGAGGCCACAGGAGGTGAAGGGTCAGGGGAAGGCCAAGTGAGGTCCTGGTGGTGGTGTTGTGATGGAGTGTGTTGTGCTCCGCAGGGCCTGGGAGTCAGTCAGCAAACGGAGTGAGCTCAGTGAGAGGAGAGAAGAAGGGAAGGAATTTCAGAAGAAAATGCGTGGCATGTGGGCAGTGAGCCAGCGGTGGGAAGAGGGCCTGCAAAGGGTTTGGGGCCGGCCATAGAGGGTCCGGAATGCCCACTAGGGGTGTCCAGAGGGTTTTGAAGAGAGAAGGCTGCCCTGCCCTGTGTTTGGGATCTTGACCCCCGCATCCCCTTCCAGTCGCCCGGCCACCACATGTAGGGGAGCCCGCAGGCTGACAGGACGGGGAGCGCCCAGACACCAAATGGGAACAAACTTCCCATTTTACCACCACATGTCACAATAATCCTCCCAGTGACCTTCGGACACAATGTGGATTAGTTTGCCCGAAGCTAAAAAAGCAGTGTATAGCACTTATTGAGAATAATAATGTTTCAGACACAAGGTTTGGATGCACGTGAAACATCAGGTCAGGGAAACACTCAGAAAACCATGGTCATACGTGAGAACGTGACACAGTGAATGACCGTCATGTGGGTCTGAGGGAGGATTAGGGACCGTGAAGCAGGAGAGCTGCTCCTCGGGCGGTTCCTGCTGTTGCTGACCCAGGGGTGGGGGGAGTCGAGCTCCCGCAGGTTCACAGCCTGTGCGGAGTCAGTGTCCCGGCTCGCTGACCGGTCCCCTCTCCTCCCCAGCTCTCCGGCGGCTGCGAGCTGACGGTGGTGATCCACGACTTCACCGCCTGCAACAGCACCGAGCTGACCATCCGCCGCGGCCAGACCGTGGAGGTGCTGGAGCGGCCCCACGACAAGCCCGACTGGTGCCTGGTGCGGACCACCGACCGGTCCCCCGCGGCGGAAGGCCTGGTGCCCTGCGGCTCACTGTGCATCGCGCACTCACGGAGCAGCATGGAGATGGAGGGCATCTTCAACCACAAAGGTAGGACCCGCGGCCGGATGCCGGTGCCCACGGGCGTGACACCGGCGCTTCTGTCCCCACTTCTGTGCAGCCGAGTAGTGGGTAGGACTCCCTGTGTCGTGCTTCAGGCCATCATCGCTGGGCCTCTGGGCCGTTTCACTCCATCAGGAGCTGCGGTGGAAATGACGATTGCACCTGTTATTCAGAAGTAATGCACGATCGCCTCCTTTCCCACGGCCGTGTAATAAGATACCAGTTTAGGGACGGAGGAGGGGCGTTCCTTTGAGGCCAGTGTCACCTATAAATGGGGAGCACAGAGAAGGCACTGTTCTCAGGCAGGCGATGGGAAACAGCGTCTCCTTATCAGGTTTTCACGCTCTGGGCTTTTTATTTTGTTCGTGTGAAATCCCAGAAAGTCAAGCATGCAGGCCCTGAGAGGTTAACCATGCCTTCTTTATAGCTTTGCAAAGT